ACAGGTCCCCACGACTGGCAGCGTCACAGATTACACCCTCCTCGGAAAAGTGATGCTCTCAGGCCAGGTAACCTACAGGGACTGCTCTGAAGTCCACCGACAGTCCCACCATTCAGTGGCACTTAACAGAGAGCTGTGAGGACCGGGAGCAGGGTCTGACTGTGCAGCCCACCCTCCACCGCAGTTCCTAACACCACGGGGGCGGGAGTCGGGGGCGGCTTCGGTTTATCCCCACGTAGCCGGTCACTCTCCGCTCCTACCTCGTTTTTCTATATGTAACTGACAACGGTTCTAGAAGCTATGGTCTATCCCTCCCTCCAAAACAGGAGTGTCCCCGCCTGAAAAGGGAACCACGTTCTAGAGAGGAAGCTGCCTTGCTCAGCACAGAAAATGCTACAACTTGCCTGGGCAGACACCCAGCCCTGAGAAGGACAGCCAGAAATACGGAGCTGGAGGCCCAGCGTCTGCTTCCTTCCTTACCCGGGAGACAGAGAGGCTCCGGCATGAGACAGTCAAGGGAGGCTTGGGGACTGCCCTCCCTTCTCCACAGTGGCCCACAGATCTCATCCTCTCAGGTCCCCTCATTTGTTACTCCCAGAGAAATGTCAGCCTTTTGAACACCTGTACCTGAGTTATTTCTGGCATTTCAGATGGAAAGAGTGTTTTTCTTTAAACTTCAGCCCTTATCCCAAACTCTCAGGCCGCTGTCCTAACTTGCCAATTTTGATCAATTACATTTCTGGTCCCTCAGTGGATCACCCACCAGCACCCAAGTCGCCCCCTACAATGGGGACTTTGGAATCAAGGCCTATAGAGAGAAAAACCCTAAAAGGCTGGAATCAAAATAGCTGTGCCCCCCCACAATAAAACCCTGACAATTGTCAATTAATTCCCCAGGGCAGTGGGGCTTCCTCTGGCTTGGGCAGGCTGTGGAAGATTGCCCACAAATCTGGACTACATTGTTCAAAATGTAGCCCCGGACAAAATACAGGTCCTGTTCAGCATGGAGATTATTATATTGGTACCTGTCCTTGGTTTAGTATCTAAAGTGAGGACAGTCCTTTGTGTGGGCAGGATGAAAAGAGGCTGGCCCAGGGTCACCCAGCCTTGGTCCCAGGACCTCACTGTCCCGACTTGCTGAGCAGGGAGCAACGGCAGCACAGCTGCAGAGACACACAGTGGTCAAGCAGCTCTTGGCCCGGCCTCCTCTGACGGCCTTCCAGAACATTGCACGGTCCTGGACAGACAACTTGAATCGCCATGTAGGAGTGCTTCTCCTCCCCTTTCTTCTCACTTCCCCAAAGTCGGCCAAACCAGAGTGGGAGCCTTGGCCTTTAAACTTGCAGTGGGTCATGAGGGGAGGGCCATTCCCAGACAAGAGTGGGCTGTGAGACTTCCTCCCCTGTTCCTTGACTCTCTTCATGATTCTTCCTCTTCCACTCTGCTCTCCACCCTCCGAGGTGTCCACCAAGCTTGTGTGGTTCCCTGGCTCTCCTGAAATAGTCATGTATCCAGGCTGTCCCCCCTGAGAATCTCCCATCTGTTCATTCTCCCCCCACCTACTGCATTACAATCACATCACTTGTGTCTCATTCTGACCAGGCCACGTGCGTCACAAACTGCCAATGCTATTCAGTCACCTGGACCACCTTCGTGGGTTTACACCCCTCCTTAGCCAGGTCACCCTTGGTGGCTTAAAAACTGGCCTGACAAGAAATCCGGTCCCTGTGACCACCCCAACATGTCGCACAAGGTTCACCAGGGAAGGAGGGAGATGGCTGCTCTGAAATGTACTTGGGGAGTCATATCCTGGGTAGACCTCAGCTTGTTACAGGTATAATGCTCCCTAGGAGTTTGGTCAGTATACTCTGTGACTACTATACCAAGGGCCCATCCCAACTCCTCTGGAATGTTCTGCAAGTAGGAAGAGATTCTAGTACAACTTAAGCAAGGATAAAAATCCTATGGCACATAACTGAGAATTTATCATTTTTTAACTGGAACATGTAAGTTTTTCTCACGAGAATTCTGTAAAGCAAAAGGTCATTGTACTAATTCAGACTTACGCTTTTCTGCAACTTTAAGTCCTTAATAGCACCATACAAGATGAAACCGGAGTCTTCAGCACACCTTGCAATACCTGCCCAAGCCAGCCTCTTCTCTGCCCACCTGTTTAAACCCCATCATCCTTCACAGACCTGCTCCAGTTCCACCTCCGCAGTAAGCACTCCCCTGAGCTTGCACGTGCTCTTCTCACACTTCTCTTAGGACTGACTCAGCAAGTCACCAACCGTCTGGTTCCCCCAAAAGGGCCCTGTCCTCTTGCTTTTTGTCGTTTAAGCCTATAAAATGAAAGCGAGTTGGGTTGAGAAGCCAAGGAAGCTTCATCCTCTGATCAGAGGATGGGAAGGTGGGGGCTCAGCTCCAGAGAACAAGCTCCCAGGCAAGCCGGGCCGGGCAGCTTTGTCCGGACCGGGCAGCAGGCGGGGGCGGGGCTGGGCACAGGGTATTCGCCGCGCATGCTCCAGGTCGCAGTGCCCGGCACAGCGTCTCTGTACATTACCCCCTCCGCCATCTTGAATAGGGTGTCAAGGGTGGGGCTCCCGCTCACGACCTGCCGCCATCTTGAACTGCGGCGCTGTGGAGGGGGCTTCTGCACACAGCCCCCCTCCGCCATCTTGAACTGGGGGGTCGTGGGCGGGGCTGCTACACACGGCCCAGACGAGGAGTGCACGTGCGCGGGCGTCCGGCGCGGAACTCTTGTCTGAGGCGCCGGGTGCGAGGCCCTGGACGCGGAGCCCTGGAGCGACGCGAGCCTGGTGCGGCGCAGAGGAGGAAAGGTCAGACTTTATTTTATCACCCAGGTTCTGTTTATGTCCTGGGCACTGTTCATGGGCTTTGCTGGTGACAGGCGTAATCAGCCACTTAGTCGCTTTCGGGGCGGGGCGGGGGCGGAGCTGACCCCCGTAGTTTCCTGTGTGTGTGAGAGGTGCCCAGAGATGGAGTGAGGATCGTCTCTGAGGCACCAGAGTTTTCAAACGACTAGAAATCTCTTTTAAAAAGAAAAAAGAAAGAATGGCTAGCACCGGCCCGTTTTACCTCAGCCCACCTCGGACGTTTCCCTCTCGGGCTGTGGGCCCAGACTCGCGCCCCGGGCCGGTCGGCCTGGGGTCCGCGGTCGGTGGTCCTCCCGACGGGCCGGGCGGTGACCGGGAGGCGCCCCCCGGCCTTGGTGTTCCTTCTGCAAGGAGCAGTTCACTGTGTTTAGTGACAGCCTACCGCGTGACCGGAGAAGCCACCCCTTCCGTCTTTAAATCCAGCAGAAGCCAGTAACAGCCATAAAACTGGCCACGATTTTTAATCCAGCAGATCCTCTCTTGGGCAGTAGCGTAGAAGCAGACGCAGAAAAGTGAGCAACTATAAACCTGCCTGTTCTTGCACAAACACACATGGACACAAAGAAACAAAGCGGTATCTTAAAGACACAAAAAGTCGGCTCTGCTGAGATGGAGGCGTGCGGCCGCGTTGATCGCGGCATGAAAGGGGGGAGAGACTGGAGTCTGCGCGTCCGGGGATGACAAGCAAACTGACTGGTGTCTTTGCGAGGCTGTATTTAGTGGTGCACAGTGGTCATTGTCACTTAGGTACTGTGTGAAATGTGTACATGAGGCTGATCTAGAGAGAAGTTCGTAGTAGGTAGGTTTCTGTGAGTATAGTACGACACAAACTTGGGTCTGCATGTTACCTGTTAAGCCATACCAATTTCCTACAACTCCTCAGACCCGTGGTGAGTCATCTGGTCAACTCAAGGGCCAGTCAAGGAAAAACCTTGTTTTTAATTATTATAGGATTTTAGCATATGCAGTATTAGTTAAACAGCCTTTTAGTATTTCTCGTTTTCTGAATACCTGCTTCCTCTCTCTCTCCCTTCCCTCTTGTCTTCCTTAAGTTTCAGACACCCTCTAACTAGCATCTGTTGCCTTCTCTTGTTTGTAGCACAGACCCTTTAACAAGTTTTGAGGAACTAGATCCTATACACAACAGGTTAAGAGAGGAACTTGAGGGGTTTAGGAAGACAGAGGTGAATGGACCCCACAACTCACCCACAGACCTGGAGAAAGAGACAGCAGCATATAAGGGATTCCAAGTTGCTGGGGACGCCTGAGAACAGGGGAGGACTTCATGTGAGGAGAGTGGGGCAGCCTGGTGGAGGGTGGGTAAGTGGACCCAGTCCCTTTGTGAATGACCATGCTCTTGGCCACTCTGGTTGCCTTCATCTTTGTGTAGAAAAGACAGTGACATCTCTCCGAAGCTCAGGATTAGCAGCCAGAGAAGGCAGTGAGCTGTCAGGACAGAAACAGAGGAGGGCGAGGACTGCCATCTTCATTTTCTCCATCACCATCTGAATGCAAGTACTCAGAAGTGTTTGAAAACAATCAGGGCACCCTCACTTAAAACAAGAGAGGCTTCTGTTGGGCTCTCACAAAGGATTGATGTCAGGTGATAATTTTTAGATTTTCCAGACACACCTTCCTGAGTCTCAGCACTGGGCACCAAGCCGGCCTCCTCATCTAACTGACCTCTTCCTGGACACTCCTGCCCATAAACCTCTGCAGTCTTTCCAATCCCTGGTTGAGCTGAAAGGGTTGAGTTAAAGGAAGGTACAAGATACGTATTAACACCTCCCACAAAACGTTAAGTGGATGGATTCAGCTGGGAGACCACTTTGCCAAACCCAGACACCATATATTCCCCAGTCAGTCTTGTTCGTGTGCCTAGCTTACTTGTAAGACTGGGAAGTGAAATTGCAGTGATACAACCCAGAGTTATCCCAACCCAGCCTCATTTCATAGCTTATCAATAGGTTGTTCTCTCTGCTAGGCATGGGCATGTCACTGCAACTGCTTAGAGTAACACTATGGAGTTCAAGACAGTATATTTCTTTCTTTAGAAAAGTTTAACATTTTTTTGTGCTTTAATATTATTTATTGCCAAACTAGAAAACTGAGTATAGATGTTGGAAACAATTCTCATACCTTCAGGAATTTCTGTTTTTAATCATTTACAAGCCCATTCAGCAAACAGTAAATGCTGACTGTGTGCTAGACACCGGGCATGAGACCAAACGGGATAGAGTATACTGCCGGCGTGGTGGAAGCAGGCAGACAGATAAGCAGGCAGCTACAACATGCTGGTGAATATCTGAGCCGTACTGTATTGGGTTTCTGTTTCTTACTCTTCCAGTTTAAAAAATGGGCATGACTTCCAGAGTCAATGCAATACACAGCAGCCCCCAAGTAAGGGAGAGGATGATCAAGATGGTTAGAGACTGAACTTAGTCAGCCATGAGATATGTGTGTTTGTGTGTTTGTGTGAATGAGAGAGAAACAGAGAGACATAGACAGACAAACAGACAGAGACACGGAGATCTTTGTTCTGTCTGAATTCCCAGTACTGCTGTAGACTAGCAATAGCCCAGTGCTAACTATCCTCCAATTCCAATGCTACTCCAAAGCTCCAAATACCTAGTTTAAGATTTAACCGAGTTGCCTTAAGGTTCCAGTTACATCAGAACTCTTTCAAATTTTGTTTCAGAGAGAGGGCATAGTTTAAGTGGTAGGATGCATGAGGTCCTGGATTCAATCCCCAATACTTCCTCTAAGAATAAATAAGTAAACCTAATTATCTCCCCCAGTGAAAAACACACACACACAAAAAAGACAAAACAACCAAACAATACTTCCTCTAAGAATAAATAAGTAAACCTAATTATCTCCCCCAGTGAAAAACACACACATACAAAAAAGACAAAACAATCAAATTTTGTTTCTATCGTTGTGGTTATTTTACTGAACTATTACTTTCTTTGCCACTCGTTGGCTTGTTTGATCTACCTGTGTGACAGAGCCCACTGTAAGTCATCTGCAGCCCCATCCTTAGCACAGCGTGCACTTGGCATCTGAACATGTCGGTGAGTGGATGAGACAGTGAGGGTGTGAGCACAAAAGGTTGTCTCAAGTTGGTAGAAAGACTACTTTGACATCAGAGCAAAGTTTAAATCTAGACTCATTCATCCTAGTTTGCATGAATTAAGAAAGTTCCTGAATGCCCTTTAATTTCATACTCTGTCAAAGATGGACATAAAAAGGCTGTTGCATTATTTGTGGGGAGAATTACATTTGGTGTGTATGTGAGTGACTAGCAAACCTAGATGACTAACTCTCCCAGTTTGCCTGGGACTGTCCAGGTTTTAATACTGAAAGTCCCGCATCCTGGAAACCTGTCTGACCTGGATAAGCCGCATTAGTGGGCTATTCCCTTCCTTAAGCCTGTTTCTAGGTTGCTACTGTCCCTTAGAAGGGAAATGTTAATTTCCAAACATCCTTACTTACTTTCTCAGTTTTTCAGCTCTGAACGTAGAAAAGACTCTAGACTTTAAAAAAAAAAAAACAGCACCACTACCTTACACAGAGCTGTAAACATATAAATTACCTATGTTCTCTCTCCATCTTACACTCAGTCCACATGAAAGGCTTTAATATGCAGATTATAACTTCTGCTAAATAACAACTATTTCACTGAATAACATGCCAGGTTTTAAAAAAGAAACAGGAAATAAGGAAAGATTGCTTAGTTTCCCAGCCTTCTGGTGAGGCCCCTTCCCCTTTTTGGTGGCTCACAATTCACTCTAACCTTCATTCTCATTCTCATTCCTGATCCCCACCTAACCCCTTCCCCACACGTGTCCCATGTTATATTCTCCTGCTGAACTGAAACCCTCAGAACCAACACATTGTACCTCTGGTAGAGGGGATTTTAAGGCAGAATCTTTTCTTGCCTAAATATTCTGGGAAGTTGACCTTTCTCCATACAATCATTCCCTTAGCCCACATGTGGCTCCTTGAATTTCAGACTATGAGATCTCTCTTGGTTCTACTGTCAATAGTTGTTCTAAAGTGGTATGCCAGTATTATCCAGTGGTGTGCTGTGGAGGGGCTGAGGATGAAGGGGCTCTGGCTCTGTTTCTCCTAAATGGAGAAAGGACAATGCAGACTTACTTTCACAAATCACAAGGAGAAAGACTGATCAATGCAAACAGTTAACACCTACTTTATTATAAATATTATGAAAATATTATGAACACCTTTAATTTCAATCTAGAAGAATACTTGGAATAAATATGATTCAGTTGATTATCTTAATATAGAAAGGATTTATTAATCTTATTATTTATTAAAAAAGAACAGAAACTAAGACCTCATTAGGTAAAATGAGAAGACAGTCCCACTAAAATCAGGTATGAAGTAAGAATGTCCCCTCTCACTGCTGCTTTTCAACATCAAACCGGAAGTCTTTGCTGACACAATAAAACAGGAAAAGGAAGTAAAAGGGTATACAGATTGGGAAAGAAGACATAAAACTGGCTTTGTTGGCAGATGACACAATTGTCTACGTGGAAAATCTGAAAGAATTGCCAAAAAAAAAAAACCAACTCTGAAACTAATAAGCAATTATAGCAAGGTTGCAGGATAAAAGTTAATATACAAAAGTCAATCACTTTCCTATATACCAACAATGAAGAGGTGGAATTTGAAATTCAAAACACAACACCATTTACTTTTTAGCACCCCACCCAAAATGAAGTACTTGGGTATAAATCTAAAACAAAAACTATAA